AGAATCTATGGGCGTAATACTTTCGGGTGACCCAAGACGAGGTAGGTAAATTGTTTACGGAGCCTTGGGTTGGTGAATAGGACCCAAAATTCAGCGGGACAGTGTGTGAAGATCACAGACTAGTTAGGCAGGTCTCAAGCGTACAGAGTATCCTAAAAGGAAAGTATGAGTTCACGATTACCGAACCATCCAGAACAAACAACGAGTGAGTAGAGGATTTTAGTTAGTTAATACTTTCCAAATACCATTTGGGTTGATGCAGTAGCTTGTTTTCAACGAGTACCTCGTTGTTCAATGTAGCCTTTTGAATGAGGGAAGAAGAATCAGCCGCTTGAAGGTGCAACCCCATGACAAGTAGTACAAAAATGACAAATTAAGACCGGCTTATTAAGTTTGAAGTTCGATTCAATGAGAAATCATTCACGGATTGCATGCATTTAGTCTCATTGGTTATGATATTTTGATTTTTGGCATTACCTTGTGCCTTGCGGACAACACCGCGAGGTTAAGTTGGTCCTCAGAGATCCTTGCAGGGTTTAACTTTGAATGATATCAAATAATTGGCAACATATGGTTCGAAATTAAACGCCTCATTCAGAACTGGTATTTGATGCACAATAACTGGATTGTACCGAAGTTAAGAGAAAAAGTTGGTTACTACTTACTGAACGTCCAAAAAGACGAACGGATGTTCACAGTTCCCCTGGTGAACGTAGAAATATGGTTTGCCAATGTATATACGCAAGTCGCGCAAATGTGTTGTCTCCATGGTCTTCTGTGAAAAAGGTCCTCGGGAATCGAACTCCTTCTTTGTCCTAGCCCATTCTATGACACAACTGATGACGATTACCGGGCAATACACATAAATATAATTTTACCTGCTTAGTGATTTATTTTGCGAGTAACGCAAATCATCATAGAAAGTACCCTCAATGAAGAAATAAGAAGAGGTATATAATTTTTCTGCGGCGATGTGCAGCGTTGGGTCGTCTAGTGCGTCGCTGCAATCACCGAGCCAGACCTAGAGGAGATACAGAGTCATAAATAAAAAAAAAACTGTACCTTATCTTGAGGGCAGCGAATAGCATCCTTCAGGGTGGACAGGCTCTGTGAGGCCAGGAGTACCATTCGTTGTGTCATTACCATATAGCGTGACTAGAGAAACGTCTGACGGAAAGTAAACAAAAATACTTGTGTACATATGTCCACATGAGGAACGGCAACTGGTTTATAAATGCCAACAGTGACCATCACTTCCGGTGAGACTTCAGAGGATTCGTTGCAATCACCGGGTTGATTATTATATGATAAATCAACAGACGGACTTGGAGTACGATCCAACAAGCAGAGAAGGGATGTGCGTGACCTAGGTTTCAGTTCGTTCTGCGGCAAATGCTGTAGTGTGCTCAATTGCATTAAATTGGGTGGTCTTTCAGGAACCACCTGGATAACCTCTTCCAATATGTTATGTTCATTTGGGTACGAAAGGTTGTCTAAACTGAGATTTCAAGTTGAAAGTACTAAAATCGAACCTGCAATCTTTTTCCAACTGGTTAGTCATGGCGGCAGAAATAGTTGACAAACACTCCTCGCGAAAGCTTTGCAAAGCATCCTCGTCGTTCAGTTTGAAGAATGATCCCGGTAATGTGGGTAAGTAAGACTCCAGTAAGTCACCGATTTTCAGTTTTTTGACAGGAATTTTTTTGTATTCCATTTGGCTCTCAAAACAAGATTATGCAACGTCTGCAAATCAAGTAGAAAAATCGATTGTAATAGATAGAACACGAAACTATGTCATACAGTTTCATTCGAGACTCAAATGATCGGATGTAAAGCTCCACAAACATGTGCAAATTCAATTTCTTCGGCGATAAAGGACATATAGTACAAAACAACCTTGGGTTGCAAAGCATTCCAAAGTGACCTCGTTTTTGTTTTGAGAGACCTAAATCTGTTTCCACTGCCAGACAACATTTCCCGAGGGTTCTGGTAAAAATGCTATAAAATATTTGAAAGTAATTCTATTGAAATCAGTCCTAATAGAGAGGATGAGTCAACTAGAATCCAGATTCCGGAGCGAGTAGGTGTCAATTTCGTATATATATATATTCTCGTCACAATAACCTTGCTTGCTACTAACCGCATCTAACCCACTTACAAAACATCGAATCATAGCATTGATCCTTCATTGGGCTGGCTCTGAAAGAGCTGTTTATCCAATGGTTACCCGGTGTTGCAAGCAAAGTTATTATGACGAAAATACAATTCCTGGGTACAAGTATACGGATGAACTGACGAAAGATTAACCGGATACGCATGCCTGACGAGCGGCAAGAACCGCGAAACCGGTCGTGTGCTTCCAGGGAAATTTTGTCCAGTCATTCGCATACTACTTATTATGAAATATATATATCACATTGACCAAACAAATCACAATACAATATTCCTTATAAAAAAAGAAAGTTCCATGACTTGTTGTGAATTTCTCAAGAAAATTCATTTGCCTTGGCTTGGGCAACCTGGCTTTCCGACCATAAACTATTCCCGGCGTTATTGAATTACACTGTAGATTGGATACTCCAACGAGCACTTATCGACCGCCCTAAGGTGTGGCTTGGCCCAGGTACATGAATCGCAGACCTCGAGATTTTGGATGATGTCGCACATTAGGACACCATGGGCAACCTGCTGTCAGTCACATTAACTAACTTGCCCAGGATATTGAGCAACAGAGCAAGACATTTTCGATTAAGAGTTCTGCTATGGTACAACTCTTCTCGATTGACGGGGAGCTTGTGGAATCAACTCAAGCTTTCACGTAGCATGGTGCGATGTGATAAATTGCACGATTCGTAGGGAGATTTCAGCGCAATAGATTGCACGGTTAGTCGGTAGACAAACCAGAAAACGATGCGCGATTGATAGGCCTTAATCGACGGAAAAACAATACAAGAAAAATGTTAGAATATGCACCAAAAATAAGAGCAATTTATGCAACGGGATCTATAACATCCACCACCACTCAGAAAACAAAGTTTAGTACGATTTTCTTTCGTGTACACCGTGGGTTATGAATGAAAAATGTTCATAGTAAGTGGTGGAAAGTGCACTGCTAAACTTCACAGTTTCGAAGGCAATAAGGTCTTATCTGTTATTGTTTTTTAATAAAAGGATTTCACCGCATGTTTCTAGTTCATTAAGAAATTCCGCTGGATCTGACAGAACTGTTTGTAAACCGGAGGTGCATGGCGTGTCTTTAGGTGGAGAGTCTGCGTGAGACTCTGGCAGAGGTAGAGGCTGACGAATTTGGTCGCTCTACAAGAGCAAGATTAGGAAGTGATACTGTTTCTTTGCGTCCAATTGGAAGGCGTATGTGAACATATTCAGGGTTGCTCTCCAGTAGCTCAACTTCCTCTATCATGGGGTCATACTTAGACGCGACCACAGGTTTTCTATTACGAGGAAGATAGAAGTATGAACTAATGAACTGATGGTGTGTGGTGCGTCAGGTAGCATCAAGTTCCATTAATCAGCCGTTAGATTCTTTAAACGGAGGAAGATGGATACTGTTTTCCAAATGGTTCCATTCAGCCTTTCAACTTGACCATCATCTTGAAGATTGTAGCTCGTCGTCCTGTCAGTGCCTTTTTTTATTACACACATTAGTGTGATGAACAACAGATGGGATAAACCCCATAGTCACGAGGACCTGATGTTCAGTGATGGAAAGCGGTAATCTGGGTCGGGGGACTTGGAATGGCGAACAAAACAAGGTCCTGATAGGTTAGGTGTGGTATTGAACCGGACGAAAGCTAAAGCCACATTAGCCTGACTCGCTCTACACAAAAGGTCGTGTAGATTATGGTAAAATTCATCTTTGACTGCATCTGGGCTGCAGTCCGTTGGAGCGTACGCCGATGCGATAAACAAGCTTACCTGGCACTATCCGGAGTCTCATTGCGCACAACCTACTGTTGAATGGGATCCAATCCAGAAGGGCGGATTCAGCTATCTCACTGAGAGCCACGCCGACGCCAGCAAGACCGGAAGCCGCAGCCTCAAGGTCCCTAGAGAGGTGTAAGTGAAACTTCATTGATGGGTTTGATGGGGACGTCAATCGGATAATGAAGCTGGAGTCTTGAATGCGAATTTCTTGGATACAACACATCCATGGCTAGGGTTTTCGAGCTTACGAGCTAAACACGCGTGCTGTCCTACACGCATCGCAGTCCGCACATTAAACGTGGCTAGTTCGCGAGGACAGTGAGGGCGAAGAAGGGCTTCAACTGGAGGAGGATTCGGTGAGACTTGGATTCTAGTCGAGG